TCAGACGTTTCAGCTAGTATCCACTAGCTTTCGTCAGTGACGAAACTGAAACGTCTGACGTTTTCAAAATCATATCCAGTTGCTTGAGTAACTGCTTTTTGGCGTATCGTATTACCTGGATGTCTAACCTTCATCGACGTAACACAGTACATCTTGTCAATCTACATCTTACAACACAGTAATCAAGACACAACAGTTCACTTCTTAACAGAATTAAGAACTTAATATGTTTAGCCTTCATTTATTCGAATGCATGTTTTCAACGTAGATTTCAAAAGTGAATAAAAACATTTTACAAACGACTGCTAAATCAGATATTCCCCCATCTAAAACATGATCGTTATACGCAAAAATTTAATGCAATTTCAAATGAAACGTTTAGCGCAGGAATGGCGTTCTATCATAGATGCAGTTCTAAGGGTTTTAGGAATTGATAAGTGATCTATGTCACATTAGCCAATGTGTTCTGCATATCGAGTCATTGTCACATTGCCCTTTTTTTCACCGCGATACTTTTTAAGCAAGTAGAGAGAGAAAGAAGTATATTGTGTATAGACTCTAAAATATTAGAAAATGGCAAGAGATTTTGTATAAAATCTTATAAGAGGGAAGGCCCCGTTATACTGTAATATAGAAATCACCAGCTACAGCGCAGCAGTTAATGTCAATTTAGAAGTTAAGAAAAAGCCTAATTGTCGTAATCTGCACAAAAGTCTAGCAGTAGGTGATTAGAAAACCAAGACGACCTGAAATAAGTCCATGATTGGTACCTAATCCAAGCTCTTAAACATAAAAAAACAGCCACCAGCTAACTTTTAGCGTTCTTCTTTGACATTTACGCGTCACCAGATAGCCTATACTTACAATGGCATGGTGGTAAAATTCTCTTAAATTCGCCAGAGAGCCTAATACTATCTATTATCGACATGATAAAAAAAAGCTCATTACAGTGTGTCTAACTTAATATGAAGAGTCGAAACTGCTGTTTTATGATGCTTAAGTTCACTACACGGTGTCTAAATTATATGGAGAGCCTTTGATAATGATGATGATGGCTATGCTATCGTAACAAAGTTCACTACATTGTGAAGTTAGACTGGGAGCCTTCTCCGTTGATGGTCTGATGCTTGGTATGATGGTTACGGTCCCTAAACTGAAGAAGATTTATTATTAGAAAGCATGTCAAGGCGTAGCCTCATTAGCTGTCAAAAGATCCCCAGTACAAATAGAACCTGCTAAGGAAGCTGGTAAAGACTAGAGCAAGCGTAGGAATTATGTACATTGTTTCAGTGTTTATAACTCTGGTCCTGGTAGAAAGAGCACGCTCTAGGCTTTGGTGTCAGCAATGCCAGCCTTGCTCATCTTTCCCCAAGTCTGGTATGAGTAGTTGTCCAGTCCTGACAGAGAAAACAGAATCCACTAATCAAAACGGTGCCACAATCCACAGACCCATAATAAGGTCACGCAGACTTACTGTAACAGTTAGATAGCATCCACAAAGCGCAAGGTTTAGCATTTATAGTGCTAGAATAGAAATCATTTTTCTTTTGACTAGTGGTTAGTATTGTGACATTGCATTATATTATATAACGACTTGTCATGAGAATGTAGAAAACGTTTTGCAAGAAAGATGCTAATTCAGTGTCTACTTTTCTTTCTTGGATGAAAAATATAGATGCACAATAACTAATTCAATTTCTACTATACTGATTATAAGTTGGTATCAAATATTGACATGTCACAAAGTGATAGAACAAAAACTACAGGGACTTACCGACAGTGTCGTCATCACGCTTCTTCCTCCCTAAGGCCAGGCCGGCCCGTTTTTTCGCCAGAACACCGGCCACGATCAGAAGCACCATGATCCCGGCAACTCCAACAGCCGCTCCCACCGCGGTAACCAGCGGCACTCCGGCTGGTCCTGTGGAATAAGAGAAACGATTATAAAGTTTGCCTTGAGTGGATCTTCAGTTTGTCATTTTCTCATCATTAAGCATGAATAGGCAAAGATCCCATACAAGCACAATGTAAGCAGCATCTAGAACGTTGCAAACAAGGCTTGCACATATCCTACTATATTTTCAGGAACCCAAGTTTCAAGAACACATTGATATATATGTATGTTTAGCTTCATGAGCAATCCTTCCCAAAATGTATTAATTTTTCGTCTTCCTTACTGCTGTAGAAAACGCTTTTTTATGATCTACCTGTTCCTGCTTCTCCGGACTGCACCTGGAAGGGTCCTTGGGTGATGTCCGCCCGCTTGTCCCTGCTGCTCTCACGACGAACCCTGGTCTCCGTCCCGTCCGAGACGGCTCGCCTGCGCCGTGCTGCTGGTGGGATGCAGCCCTGCTTGCACCGAGAGTCAGGGTCGTCCTTAAAGCAGATGATCATGGTGCAGTGGAAGTACACCTGATGGAATAATGGAACATGTCATTGACAGTCAGGAACAGCATTGAGCAGACCCAAACCTCCGCCAAGCTTTTTGAAACATATGTTTCCTGTTGTAGCTGTTCTATCGTTTCAGCTGACCCATCATTTGTGTTGGTGCATGCATGCCCTCAAACTCATGATACCGAAAATTTGCTTTAGAAGAGCTTGTCATTCAGATATATGACATAAGCCACTGTAATTATCACCAAGCATTTAATCATCCATATCATCCCCATCCACCAGTCACCACAAAAGTGGCAGCTTTGAAACACTGATTGTATTCTACCAGACTGGGGTCGAGAGCGTTGGGAAACGCGAAGGCGTCCACGCCGTAGCACAGGGCCTTGTCGTTAGAAAGGTCAGGGTCCTTTTGTAGAGTTTCATCAACCTGACAGCTGCAAATTCAGATGGAACAAGTCATTTATACCCAAACTCTTTCATACTGAAAGGTAACTCGTGATTGCCACAATATTGCATAAAGAACCAACCAAACCACTAAACAACCAACCAACCAACCAACCAACCAACCAACCAAACCAAACCACTAAATAACTAAACAACCATCCCACCAACCAACGTATATCACTAACAATGAAACAAATGAGAAAAAAATCCAAGGTACTCAACAAAGCTTCCACCCAACTAGCCAATAAACCATGACTGTCAGCTAGCCATCCAGCTAGCTAGCCAGACAAAAAACCAAGCAACAAACCTACCAACTATGCAGCCAAATTCACCCACCTACCACAACCAAATGACCAAGAAATTAGCCAAGAAACCGGTCAGCTAGCCAGCCAGCTATTTACTTAGTAGCCAGACTTAAAACCAAGCAACAAACTAACTAACTAGGCAGCCCAAATTATCCACCTATCGCAACCAAACAACTAAAGTCCTAAGTAATCAAATATTTAAGCAAATGGAGTCAAACACGTACCCATTGGCGATGATGCTGACCCTAGGAGAGTCGTCAGGGCTGGTGGTGGGAGTGGAGACACAGTCACGGGCGAACAGCTCCAGGTTGTCCAGCGATGACGCCACGCTCAGGCCGAAGTGAAGACGGTCGGATGGTGAGACCTGGGGTGTGTACAAGAGCAGTTTCGTTCTATTGATTGTGCTTATTGACATACCCTTTAGTCCCTTTATGGGAATAATCTTCGAGGGATCGTCGAACAATACAAATACATAAAACAAATATACAAATAAGTACAGATTTACAGTACAGACCTGAATCGAGCACTAAGAATCAGAGGTCAGATCAGAGAACTAATAATGACTAAAATGGTCAAATCAACTAATCATCAATTAGTGAAGGCATACTACTTGGTTTTACTAAAATCACTAAACTTTAAAATATAACTGTGCAAACTATATCATCAGGATTAGAGCCGTTAAGTTGAATCAAATTGATCAATAATTTGTTCATTTCGAAGATGTCTTTCATTGGTGTCAGAACACAATAAGATTATAAAGAGGCTGGTTATGCTAAGATAAAAACTTGCTAACCTGAAGAGGGAAGTCAGAACTCTTGTAGGTTGCACTGAAGTCTTCCGAAGTGAACATATGCATCTCCATGGTGAAGCTGTTGTTGGCGTCAATGATTTGAAGGCTGCAAGAAGATTGCAAAAACTGGTTAAAGAAGCAGTTAAACTGAACATTGAATCCAACCAACTACTCTGCAATCATTATTCAAGTTGTTGATAATCAAGAAGTCACTGTTAAACATAGCCTTAGGCATAAATACGAGAATGTTCTTCCTACACAGCCCGCACTGTCTCACCTGCTTACGTTTTGATGTCTCCCAGCCACATAGCTTCTGACTGGAGTTCTGCTTCTCGCCACTATTTGTAGCAGATGTAGGGGACAGCAGGTGAGAAAGTGCTTGTTGTGTAAGAAAAAAATCCCCATATCCTGTATGCCCTCCCTCCAACCCCATGAAATTATTATCGATAGTCCTGGGCATGTTTGAGCCACAGCAGGGAGGGTATTACCGAGGAGAGGGGATGTTATACATGATGTCGTTGCCCTGGGAAACTACGTGCTGACGGAGGAACTCGCACTGGAAGGGCAGGTTTACCGGCTGGTTACGCACAGCACCGTTGGCCTGAGTCACTTGGTTGGCAATGACTTCGTTGGAGAAGATGAATTTGTCGTCTCCTGAGGTCTGAGGGAATATAAGAGGCACGGCAACCAAATGAAAGATGCATTAAAAAGGAATAAAGCACGGGACCTAAAATTAGTTGGCTTAAAAAAGGTACCTATCACTTATACAGAACAATTTTAAGTGAAAATATTCACGGAATTCTAAGTGAAGCAAATTGTTTCGGACAATGTCCATTTTGCAGCAGGTCACAAAAAATTCCAAAGATGTCCACTTGACTTAACAACACTCTAGGTTGAGAGGAACTGGGGTTTTCTGTCTTACCTCCTGCCGGGTTCCGCACTCCTGCAGGTGTGTCTCAAACTTAAAGACATCTTCGTCTTCGTCCTCAGTAGCTCCACAGTCCGGGTCCAGCAGGTGCAGGTCCTCCACATTCACAGCCGGCAGCGCCGCACGGGGGATGGACAGACTCATACTGTCCTGGTCGCACACTACGTTCACAACAACCGGATCTGTAATGATAATAGTAAGACAGTATGCTGAGAAAATTGTATGACTGGGTCTTCGTCAACTATAATGAACTGCAAGCCCTGGTAGCAGGAAAATTGATTTTGGATTCGAACCCCTAACCTTCAAATCCAGAGGCGGGATTGCTTACAATGCATATACAATGAAGCACAAACTCCTGTTAGGCCCCGAATTCAATGCATCATGTTCACAGCACTCACCTGTGGTATATGTGCCACTGACCTCCCCGTTTTTCTGGTCGTCCTCGTCGAAAGAAGTCAGCGAGAGGGTGTATTCCGTGTTGGCCAGCAGACCCTGCACTGTTGCCGAGGTGACGTCCGGTCCTGGTGCGGGGAAGAGGTCCTGGTACGAGCCCGACCCGTCTGCCGGCTGGTAGCGGAGCCTGTAGCGCGAGATCGGAAGATTCCCCACGACTGTCCAGGAAACGGTGAGATGACCAATCCCGGCATCATCGAGGGTCAGCCCCGATAGCTCTGCCACTGGATATGTGGCGTATGTGCCACCGATCTCCCCGTTTGTCTGGTCGTCCTCGTCGAAAGAAGTCAGCGTGAAGGTGTATTTCGTGGTTGGCAGTCCCGTCACGGTGGTTGAGGTGGCGTCTGGTCCTTGTGCTATATCACACCGAACGACTTGTTACATTCAATCTTTGCACGTTTATGCAGCAGTTGTTTAAACTATTGAAGCTTTCTAGTGATGATGCCCCAACTGTGCTTGTCTTTCAGTCTCCCCTTTGGCATCTGTTGATGTTTAATTGGCTTAAAATTACATTTAGTCATTTTCCCTCGGCCAATAAGGAGAGCGATTTTTTTGTTCTAAATCTGCATTGTGTGGTTTGTCAAGAGCTAAGGGTGCATTAACTAACGACGTTACAGCTAAGTTGCAGGAAAGTAACAGCTGCGAACCACAAGGTGGCCTAGCCTATTCCGGGCAATCTTTTACCTCATTTTTGCACTACGAAATCTTCGTTAATATATTCACGTAGCCGATCCTGTATCATAGTATCTGGTTTCTGTAGGCACTGTTGGTATCCATGCATAGCCCAAAAAGTAAGAAAGATGATTTAAGATCAGAATCTTACAATTCCTGATATCCAATAATCTTTAGATCCACATTTACGGCAGTATGACTTAGTTTACCTGTACAAGACACCCCCGTGTCACATGCCTGTGTCTCCTGAGCGGGACCGTCACAGTCTGCCCCTCCGTTCGCTGGTACAGGGTTGGTGCAGGTTCTGTTCCGAGTCTCCGTCCCGACTCCACACGTCACGTTGCAGTCAGACCATGCGCCCCAGTCGGACCAACCGCCATCAACTAATTGGAGACAAATTAAGTACATTTAATGTACGCGGAAAAACTGAAAGTTCGTCCCTTTGAATAATTTCTATAGACAGTGCTGGTTGTATCTATTCATAGTCCATGAAGCAAGAAACTTATTTCTAAGAATCTTACATGTCCTCATAACTGATCTTAAGATCCATGGTGACAGCATTATTAAGTTATTCACCTGGACAGGACACTCCTGTGTCACATGCCTGTGTGTCCTGAGCGGGACCGTCACAGTCTGCCCCTCCGTTCGCTGGTGCAGGGTTGGTGCAGGTTCTGTTTCGAGTCTCCGTTCCGTTTCCACAGGTACCGATGCAGCCTGACCATGCGCCCCAGTCGGACCAACCGGCTTCAACTACAGTACCTACAACTATAGTAGATATTTAGAGCTTTGTAACATTCTTGCTTTATCACGTCTCCTTAATTATGAAAATAAAATTGCATCTGTTGATTTTCCGTTGACCAAAAATTCCATTTAGCACCAAGACGCCTCATTGCAGCCAATCAATGGCCATCGTCGTAAAATTTCTATAGGAGGCAAGCCTCTCAAACCATTAATATTGAATATAATCACTTTAAAGACACCAGTGGCAGACAAGCCAAGCATTTGAGAGATGTCATTTTTACTTCAGCAAGTAGTATTTTACACCAAAATTGTATCACAAACATACACCTTCAAACCCCCATCATTGACAATCGATCATTAAGGTTGGAAATTACAGCACATACCTAGCTGACAGATGAATGCTACCTTGCTGACGGTGCAGCGTGCATCATTCCAGATGTGCGTGGTATGAAAAACTGCTGCACAGTCTTCGTCCCCGCCACCATTGTTCGGCTCACCCCCATTCCAGTTGGCATAGCCGGATGACGCAAGTGTTTGGCCGTCTTCAAAAACCCACTGCCCTTCGTTGTCGATGTCATTCAGCCCAATCCAACGTGTTCCGCCTCTTGCCAGATTGTGGATGAAGGTGTTGATCGCGCTGTTCTTCGGCATGGCTATCATTCCCCCGTCTGCAGCACACGTCTGTTTAGCCTGATCGTAGGTCTTTAGCTCAGCAAAATCCTTGTAGCAAACTCCGTCAAAACTGACGTAGCTTGCTATTAGACACACTGTATAAAAGGAAATTTCGGGGTAGATGTCTTGATCAGATTGTATCTGCCATTCACCTACTGATGTACTTTTACAGTTGACTGCATCGATCCGCTAGCATTATTCATTTCAAGGATTAGGTAACAATTTACAAAATGTCAACAATTTACAAAATGGGCTTGTGGCATTCTCCGTTGCAAATGTTAACTGAACTGTGAATGTGAACTGAAAACAACAACAGTAGATATGCATATCAGAAATAAAACTTTCCCGTGAATTTGTACCCTTTTCCCTGGACCCTATGACATGAAATGCCTGTCTACTCTACCAAGTTTGTACTGATCCCATCACCTGTAATCTGCAAATGCCGTCAAGACGTAACATTTGATAAAACACAGCACGTGAACTGGACTCTAACCAAGACAACAACAGAAACCTACTGTCAGTGCTGCAGCCTAGAATCTCCACGCTCATGGCGATGTAATTATGCCAGGTTTGAGGGTAGAAGCGCACATAACGGGCAGCAATGGGATTGTCTAATAGATTCGTTACAGGTGTTCTCATTTCCGTGTTGCCTGGAAAAACCTGGAACGTAAAAGAATTATTCAGCCTTAGATCTTCTTTACAAACAATTTCCGTTCTTAGGACATTTTATCAAATACAATGCCTATTTAAATGACGCCCATACATTTATAACCTGGCGCCTTCTAAAGACGATCAGTAGAGGAGAGCTTTGTGAGAAGATGGCTGGACCAGGACATATGACAGCTGGAGTAGGGTCACATTAATGAGATAAATTTATATTTACTACACAAACAGGTACCCCTGTTGGTGGCGGCATTAAAGTAATATAAGTTGACAAAACTCGAGTGTGCCGTCACCACGTCTTGTGACTTCATAGTGGAATTAAAAAAAAGGCATCCACAAAGAATGCAGAACAAGGGTCATAATATTCATTTTTTGGGGGTTACCATCTCAGACCCATCGCTGCCCGCATATGTGGTCCAAACAGTCTGATCTGCACTGTACCGGAGTTTGTATGACGTCACCCACTGTTCGTAATCCCGTTGGCGACCTTGAATGACCGTGCCCGTGACGCGCTTCATCTCTCCTAAATCTACCTGAAAAGCACATGTTTTATTACTTTCTGATAATTTGACGCAAATCTCAATATCAGATTATATCACGTTAACAAGAAATACTAGTAATCTCTTTCACAATAAGCACAAACCAAGAAGTATGCATTTTTTAAAAATCCATTAAATTGTATACTAACCTGTAACCATTGTCCTAAGCGGCTTCCCCCGGGTATCCAGCAACCATGACTGTGAACACCGTTTAACCGAGCGTAGTAGGGTCGTGTATCATGATTGTAGGACGAAGATGCAGTGATACGTCCACCAGGTATGGCGCCAGATTCCATCCCAAGTTGAATCTGACAAACTGATAAAAAGATTATGTCCCAGATGGTTTGGGGTGTCCACAAAATGTTAATCGTATTGAAGAACATCTCGGAAGTTTCAACTGGAAACCAGTTTTTGTCCTGTTAATAATGATAAATATTGCAAGTATTGCCGCTAGACCTACATGGGAACTTGCTGACTAATGTGTCTGGAGACACAGGAGGGCCTAAGCTATCAGGTAAGGATTGCAAGTGAACTAGCATATAAAAATGCAACAACAGAAAATTACTTTTATTACTGCAGCCCAGAATCTCCACCCTCATGGTGATGTAACTATGCCAGGACTGGGGGTAGAGACGCACAAAATGGGCATCAACTGGATTGTCCAGTAGGTTCGTTACAGGTGTGTTTGTGTCTGTGTTGCCTGGAAAAACCTGAAAGGCAGAAGAATTCTTTAAATGAGAGAATCTTAACTACTCCTTCAATCTTCTTTACTAACAATCTCCTTTAGAAATTTTATGATATAAAAAACATAAGCAGACGACACCCATTGATTTGATAACCCGGCGCCTCCTAAAGACGATCAGTAGAGTAGAGCTTTTTGAGAAATGGCTGGACCAGGATAGATGACAACTGGGGTAGTGTCAATTAAAGAGACATTACATACAGACAGGTATACATTAAGAATACAGGACAATCTTAATAACAGTTTTTTTTCTTTTTCATGACATATTTCTGTAGGTTACCATGTCAGATCCATCGCGGCTGGCATATGTCGTCCAACTAGTCCCATTTTCACTGTACTGGAGTTTGTATGACGTCACCCACTGTTCATACCTCCGGTAACGACCCTGTGTAGTGATGCCTGTCACGTATGTCATCTCTCCTAAATTCACCTAAAATGCACAATTTTTGTTACTTTGTTATCATTTGACACAAAACACAAGTCAGATGCCATTCATAAAGTAAACAGAAAATAATCCCTTTTCCAATAAGCACAACCCAAATGTATGTATTTAAAAAAAAAACTATCAAACTGTATACTTACCTGCAACCATTCTCCAATGACGTTTGTTCTTGCTGCCCAGCCACCTCCGCCACGAACTCCGTATAACCGTCCGAAGTAGGGCTGGTAATCCGGACTGGTGATCGAAGATGAAGTGATGCGTACATCGGGTATGACGCCATATTCCATCCCAAGCGGATCGAGACAAACTGATGAGTTCCAGTTGGTTTTTGGTATCCCTAAAATGTCAATAGTATTGCTAAACCTTTCCAGAGTTTCAAAATACAGTATTCGTTGTAAAGGGTATTATTGTACAGAACAGGTCAACTGCCATGAACCAAAGGTTTCACCAAAAGAGAATTATACACACACGTACAACATGTAGAATATGGTTCATACTTACTGTTTTGAGACTTAAGTTACCCAAGTTACTTACCAAAAATTCAAATGATAAAAGAGACGGAAAACAGTTTCCGTTCTGTTGACAATGATATATATTGCAGGTATTGCTGCTAGACCTAGATAGAAACTTGCTCTCCAAAGTGCCTTATGTAAGGATTAGAAGTGAACTAGAATATAAAAATACAACACCAAAACTTACTTGTATTACTGCAGCCTAGAATCTCCACCCTCATGGCGATGTAATTATGCCAGGTTTGAGGGTAGAAGCGCACATAACGGGCAGCAATGGGATTGTCCTGCAGGTTCGTCACAGGTGTGTTTGTGTCCGTGTTGCCTGGAAAAACCTGGAAGGTAAAAGATTTATTCAGATGAGGGAATTTTAACTACACCCTTAGATCTTCTTTACAATTTCCGTTCTTAGGGCATGTTATCAAATGCAATACTTCAGCAGACGACACCCATAGGTTTGATAACCTGGCGCCTTCTAAAGACGATCAGTAGAGGAGAGCTTTGTGAGAAGATTGCTGGACAAGGACAGATAACAGCTGGGGTAGGGTCAAATAAATAAAAAACATTTATATTTACTACACAAACAGGTATCCCGTGTCGGTGGCGGCATTGATATAACTTGACAAAACTCGAGTGTGCCGCCACCACGTCTTGTGACTTCATGTTTGAATATAAAAAAGGTATCCACAAAGAATGCAGGACAAGTGTCCTATAGCATTTTTCTTTAGGTTACCATGTCAGAGCCATCGCTGCCCGCATATGTGGTCCAAACAGTCTGATCTGCACTGTACCGGATTTTGTATGACGTCACCCACCGTTCCGCACCCCGTTGTTGACCCTGAATAATGGTGCCCGTGACGCGCTTCATCTCTCCTAAATCTACCTGAAAAACACATGTTTTATTACTTTCTGATAATTTGACGCAAATCACAAGATCAGACTTTATAACGTAAACAGTAAATACTACTAATCCTTTCACAATAATCACAAACCAAGAAGTATGCATTTTTTTTTAAATCCATTAAATTGTATACTAACCTGTAACCATTGTCCTACGCTGCTTCCCCCGGATAGCCAGCAACCGTAACTGCGAACACCGTTTAACCGAGCGTAGTAGGGTCGATACTCATGATAGTAGTACGAAGATGCAGTGATGCTTCCATCAGGTATGGCTCCAGATTCCATCCCAAGTGGATCCTGACAAACTGATAAAATGATTATGTTCCAGCTTGGTTTTGATGTCCCAAAATGTTAATCGTATTTAAAAATAGTTTCAAAATATACGACGTAAAGGGACATGATTGTACACAACTGCCATGAACCAAAGGTTTGATTTAACGAGAATTATACACGTAGCCTGATACTGAAAACACTGTAGGAAAAGAAAACGAAGATAGGTGACGTGATAAAGCATGTACTTGCCAGTCATTAACTTTATACACTAACAACTGGATATGTAATGAAACAATGCTGTACACTTTATATATCCACTAGCACCATACCTTTGGAAGGCTTAAATGGATGGTTTAAAGCATGTTACAAAATCTATACCACTAGCTGTATCTATCTCACAGATTTCAGTGGTAATTGGCAAGACCAAAATTATTCAGAGACAGGCACTCGCAAAACATAGATGAGGGGCTAATCACATGTTACCAATAGCATTTCCCCTAACAAAATGCCAGATTAGTTATCATAAAGTGACGACTAAGAAACCAAAATGATGTGTGAGAATATCAATACCCCAACAGAAATGGAAATTTACCTTGCCCAGTGACTGTTGCAGTCGACGCTATCAGTATCAGAACCATCCACATCCAGAACCCTGATGTACACGGACCCGCCATCGTGTCAGCGTACAACAGCTGAACACAGACCGGTAATTAGGGATTTCATTCTGTCAGTTTACAAATTTACACGATTTGTATGTCAAAAGAAGAAGACACTGTGCAAAAGCAATATGTATTCCTTCTGTAAAGGTGGTGCAGGTTTGAAAAGTTTGAAATACTACACCCGTCTACTTTTGTTGATGGCATAACAAAGGGAAGAGTTTATAAAGGAATCAGTCACTCATATTCAAGTCGTCGAACTGTCTACAGAAATATAAATTGCAATCAACTACATGAAAACTGTATTGATATTCTGCTACACTGAGCCATCTGCGTTTCACAATCTTATTTGTACAAATAAAGAAACAAACAAATAAAACTTATCGTAGAACTATACTCGCATCAGCAACATACAGCTTCCTGGGCTTTCCTGCACTTTTATGCCAACAGGTCTTGAATATGAGTAACAATGCCACTGCGGTTTATAACAGGTGGCGACACCTGTCCAACAACTTAAAATGAGTGTGGGAACCTCCTTATGGCCCTGTCACACATTCATTGAACCTCCCCCGAATAGACCACGACAACCGGTGTCTCCAGACTAAAAAGCCCGACCGGAGCTATATCCCCGACGGGCACCGACGAATTTGCGACCTAACCATGACAAGGGCTTTGCGCCAAAAACAAATTAACCCGGCCTTTTCTATTAAAGCTTGCCAGAAAATTCCGCATCCTGCCTTAAATACCTGCCATTTCGCCCTAGTGTGTACTCTAGCCTTAGAAATCATGATTGAGATCACCAAAAAGTTTTAAAATTGCCAAGAACACAAATCAAATAGTTGGTGCACGTGGAAAATGTTTCAATCACCTTTACTCATCGTCTCGTTTAGAGTATTTCTATCCCATTAATTCTGTCTTCTTGTGCTCGGTATGCAAATTTTGGGCCAGTGGGGTCGCGTGACGTATCGGCATAGTGCTCGACTCGGAATCAAGAGGTCCCGGGTTCGAGTCCTGACATGCCACCGATCTTGGGAAACGCACTTTACACGACTTTCCACAATTCGCTCAGGTGAAAATGGGCATTGTCTTGTTCCCTGTGTTGGTGGCGGCATTATTATAAATTGAAAATAAAACTTGAGGGTGCCGTACCACGTCCTGTGATTACATGTTGGAATTTTAAAAAAGGCCACATTTTGCATACTGAGCACAAGGGGACAAAATACTACCACGGTGGCCTGTAAGCAATGGCGGCCTGTCTGACAACACTGGCGTGATGACACCGGGGCACCAAATGAGCTGGAAGGAAAACCTGCCCGAGGACATATGTACAGGTTGTGTTTTTGTCCCTGTCAGGTGAAACAAGTACCCTGAGACTTCAGACGCAACAACACAACTTCGTACATCACATCCAGCCTCTTTTGCATTTTCTGGCAATTTGGCCAGTTTCCTTCACTTTTGCACTATCCTAAAGATTCTCAACGATACATGGGAACTTGATAATGTCTGCATCCAAGTTACAAAAAGCCTGGATTTACTTTGAGCGAGCAACAAAGGAGATCACAGCCCGTACACAATGGTATAAAGGTTAGTTTCTTATCATTCATTTGTTTTGAGCACATAAAGAAATGATCAACCTAATGATGAGGTCACATTTCCAAACCGGGGCCCGACTGGGCAGCTTTTGGGAACGAAAAATACTACAAGTTTATAAACGACAATAAAACACAGCTAAAGATAACCATAAGTACTATTTGTATATTCCTGATAAGAATTGCCGATTTGTCGCTTATGCCAACAGCAGTTTGGAAATGTGACCTTAGCTAACGGTGTGTGAAAATGGCTCTACATGTAGGTCGGAGGTACATTTCGTGGTGTTTGAAGCCTATATTTAAGTTATAGGACCTCTCTCTGTTAAAAAAAAAGGCATCGCAATATCCACAGAAGCATAATCTGCCAAGAATTAACCTTCAGGCAGGGTGAAATCTCAGGTTTGGGCCGTAAAATTGAAGAGAAAGTCGTGAGTCTGAAACGTGGCCTATATTAAATAACTGACAAGGCAGGGGGGGGGGGGCAAACTTACAATATTTCGCCCCGTTGAAACAAAAACAGCTCAAATCTCTGCAGTGCCGCTCAACATACTTGAAATGTTATAAAAGATTTAAAAACCAGAAATTTAAGGCTTTTAAACAAGTAGAAACACAACAAGTCATTCAGGTTTTAACTTTAAACAGGCCACTCAGTTAAACACGCCACCTTCGCCTGCAAGTATATACAGCGACGAATGCACGGTTTTTGTTAAACTTAGCCAAAAAAAGGAAAATACCTGTTATAAAAGATCTCTCTACCGTGTTACCTTTAGTTTGTAGTTGGAAAACGATAAACTAGAACAGTATAAACCAAGAACGTAGACGTCTAAAACATGACGTTTTAACTTGCTCTTTGGTTGGGCTCAAAGCATGTTCTCGAGTTGTCACCGTGTTTCCAAAACCACACTTTTTTCAATCCAAAGTTCCCGGCAAAAGTAACAAACATAACCTTATTGAAACTTTCTACAATGATCAAGTCGTAAGCCTGGATAGAGAGACTTTGATCGTGACATTGACAAGAAACCTCAGGGTCTCGAATGGGGGTACATGTATAACAAGCCATGCTGTGGGCAGGAGACATTTCTGTAGCACAGCACAGGAGCGAAAGAGCCAAAAGTCTATGCTATGGAGTTAGAAAACACTGAGTGGCCTTAACTACGATGTAAAGTCACGAAAGGAAGGATAACACAGACCATTTTGGACAAGAAGCTTCGAGTTTTTTAACAATGGGTGACACAGTAAGAATTTCTGATCAGTCACGTCAAAAAGTTGAGAATCAGGCAAGGTTATCGTATTTTTATTTTAAGCTATAGAAAAGACACCGAAAGTTGTCATATTTCATCAACTAAGTATTACCGTCGTTTCATGATCTAGCAGGTGGAATAAAATAGAAAAACGGACAAAGACAGGTACTTACTGGTTCAGTGTTGTTGGTGAAGCGAAGTCGGTTTATGCCAGCTCACTGTCCAGTTTCCAACTTTATAGTGCTCAGGTATATATACCATACTATTATTAGATTGTATTTGCGTAAACGTCATTCAAATCAACGATTGTGATTGGTCAAATGTGATGGTATGACATCACATGAAAAGAAGATGCTCGAAAAATCTAAAGATCTGGAAAATCACGTGATGTATCACTTTCCCACGCTGCCTTATACCCGGCAAACCAAGGACGTTTTTTTATTGATCAAACGTCCTTGGGCCAACACACGAATCCCAGGACTGTTTGAACCAGGTCCATTGTGGTGTAGATTTTTTGTACAGTTCACACGACCTTTTTGCCCTCTCCCACCGTGCAAGGTGCAGTGAAGTGAACTGCAACTAAATCAGTGTTTCCCATCGTACAAGTGACTGACCTTGGAAATAATTGCAGGATTTCGAAAACATCAAAATTGACAAAAATCACTGTAGAAAGCATCAGCTAGAGTTATGAATAACTGTTTTCAGTATAAAGGGTTAATGTAAAGACCGTTTGAATCAGGCACAGCCAAAGCCATTATGGCCCTACGTCATAGATGTTTAGCATAATACGCGGAAGAGAGAGCACGACTTTTATCAAAACAGCACCGTTTGGTTTTACCTAGTGCTATTTGTTAACTGGTCTACAATACATCAAGAATGTGGGATTCTGTAATGTTTATCTTATTCAGAGCTTACCTAAACTTAGGATTTAACGAGTGCTGATTAAGTTTGTAAAATATTCGGACGGAGATGTAGATTAGGGACGTCGCTAAGTAGTACCTGCTAGCCAAGTATGTAGGGAAACACACAGTCACGTCGGGTGGCAAAAATACGTCTACATTATAACAATACACTATATCATACCAGTATACCCTTTTCGTGCTCCCCTGCTATCTATGGTATTTGACGTCTTGTCCTATGGGGCAGCTTGCTTGAGTTCCTCCCACATAATTGGTTGTTTCTTTCCCTTCGAAACATGAAATGTGGAAGATCACCTCACAAGGGATGTGTCTGTTGCTCGAAGGTGGCCTTGAGAATTTAAGCACAATTGAGCAACTGACAAATGTAAAAGAGGAGAGGGGCAGATTGCCAATGTACTAAATAGTTAATTAAGAATCTGAAATACTACAGAAAATGTTACGGTGCGACGGAACTGGAAAACTCAACCTTTACCAGTCATTTTAGATTTATATAGATAGGCCTATTGTGACAATGCGGCACGACAAAAATAGTTACCACCTATCCGCAGTCCCAAATGGGTTAAAGACCGCGAGTTTTCAATCTATTCTAAGCCTGTGGCTTCCCTACAAACATTGTCACTTTTAAGCCGTTTTATGATGAAATTTGCCAGTTGAGTGTTTCCCACGATCACCTGTGTGGTTACACGGTGGAAACAATGCAGTTAATTATCGACGATCGCGGGAAAACGATTTTGACAGATTTAATATTGATGACTTTAACCACCAGGTTCATTTATCGTTCACACGACCTTTTCTGCCCTCTCCCACCGTGCAAGGTGCATTGAACTCACAGTCTAGGGACGATCAAATCTCAAGGTTGCTCATTGCAAGTAACTGAAAAAATTCCCATTTCACTCTGTGCAGAGCATAGGGTGGCGCCCATCTCATTTGCTGTAGCTCTTGGGCCACACAGTTAACGTTGTGCAAGCAATACAACAGGGGGCTAGCCCACTGGTAGTGTTGTGTGTTTGATCTTCCCATACTCTTTTTCATAGATGCTGAGTGCTAAGCAGAGAATGTAGTATGTACCATTCTCAAAGTCTTTGATATAACCAGACCGGGGTTTGAACTCACGACCTCACGGTTCTAAAGCGAGCACCCTGCTGATTGAGCTATTATACCAGTCTTGGAAAGAATTGCAGGATATGAAAAAACATGAAAAATGATAAATAATAAATATGTAAAGCATCAGCTAGAGTATAAAGGGTTAATGTAAAGACCGTTCGTAT